ATTCTTCGATCATTCGACAAATCTTCGGCTATCCCTCGAATCTATGGCAGTGCCAGTGCTTGAACCATATTTTCCATGCATTCGCCAGATCTTCTTTTCGTGTAGCCGAACCAACGGCAACTGTGTTCGATCAGCATATCTGAAATTCGTGCTACACCCGGATTGCCTCTTATGAAAGTATTCTGATTGTGGACTATCTTGCTGACATCGCACAGCCGTCTGAGCATTCTCATTTCTGCACAGTTCAGGTGATGCTCTGGTCTCTTCAGGGCAGCCGAACTTCCCATTCGGTAGAGACGTACCGAACTTATTATCGTTTTGTAGCCATTCCCTTTAGGTTGACGACCATTCACTTATCATAGAGCGACATAACGCGTTCTTCATGTTAGCCAGGCGTTTTTCATTCATCGTCAAGTTCCTTCTCTTCTTGAATGATGGAACAAACATATGAGAATTCTTGGCTTTGAGACAGAAGCAAAGTCTTCACAAATGATTTGTTGACTCTACCTCTGTCTTCTCGCCATGTATTCTGATTTGTCTTTGCTAAGCAGAAGGCTGCATTCCTCAAGGACTCTTTTCATCCTTCGACTTTTCCGTCTGCTGCTTCACCGTTCAGCAAAATGACATTTGCATAGAGAATGCAGTGTATGACTGCTTCGTGAAGATGTGTAGTCATCAAGTGTGTCGTCATTGAGAACACAAACGAGCTCAAATCTAAATCTTGATGGATTCTTACTCACAGAGGAAATTCTTCTGTTTCGCCTCCTGCATTTCGATTCGTCTTATTGCCATTCTATCGCACATATCTTTGAAAAGATCAAAATGTGTTTTGGTGCCATCTGTTTCCTAATGCTCTACCAATTTTTCTGCCTTGCATTTCTATTCAAAGCATTCTCCAAATGTAGGATTCCCTGCATGTTTCGAGGATCAATTTTTAACACCGGAAAACTGATCATTAACGGGAAAAATTTTGGAACTCGAAAGGTCGTGGAGTTTTTTCGGTCACAAATAGTGCTGGTGTTGGGTTGAATATTTCAGTTGTATATTGTGATCGTATTCACTCATTTCAGCAACACGTAATTTCATGACTTGAGGTTACGAATGAATGGCATTTTTCAGAGTGTCAGAAATAAGAACTGTATTCATGACGAAGGGCAGAATGAAATGGAAATAAAGAAGCAACAGAAATGAATAATTATGTAAACCACTAATAGGACCGATTCACAACCGAAAATAAACGTTTACAAAACTTAATAGGAAGAGAAATTAGTTAAAAAATTAGTTACTTTGAACGATTTTAAGAAAAGGTGCTGAAGGTTACTGGGACCTTTAAAAGCATACCCTGATGATGTGATTAGTTATTGCTGGTACAGCCGTATAATTATCTTGGCTATATACCTTGTGCAACCCTAGGAGACGCTCCATCAGCAGTTCTCGTCCGCTCTTTTATGTCGACAGTCAACATAATACAGTCTATATTGTCCATATTGCAAGTCAACGAATTGCTATTTGATTTTTAGAAGCAACGTTGAACAATTTTTTGGTTAAGGGAATTAGTGGATTAGAGCGTTAGTTTGGGTTCGAACCCGGTAACTCCGAAGTTCTTACCTCACCACACCCTCACCCTCCCTGATTTCCTGATATGCATATATACGGACATTGAATCCTGGTACACATATTGTGGATGAATACAAGTATGGGCAATGTTCTCGGAAGAATGTTGTGACAGATTGCAAAATAAGACGCCATATGAGGTCATTAACGAAAGATCGCTTACTCGACGTATTCATATTCTATTTCTCAGAAATCGCCTTTAAATCGTACGGTAAGGGAAAACGACGGGTGGCACATAAGCGTTTAGTATTAGAATGTATGCAAAGACAAAGCACATTTTTGAAGGACATCGTATGATGCATGAAGGCTTCTTATTCGCCTTTCAAAGAGCAGCAGCTAGTCACAGTGGATTGAAACTCGTTCGTATATCAGGTCAAGTCAACGAACGCCATCAAAATTATGGAAGATTTTTGTGTGAGGTAGTTGTTCCTTAAGTGCAGTGAACGTGCTGAGCGAGGCAGGGCTCCATGGCTCTCATAAATTCGCCGGTTGTTTTAAACATATTCGAATGTAGCCTATTAATAGCCGGGTATCGGCATGCACTATAGAAATTGCCATGTCATTTTATGTGCTTTCAGATCATTTTGGAAATTCCGATGCAGCGGTGTCACTCACGTGCTTTATTAGTTTCAATAATTATTGAGTATACAATGAACCAAAACTGCTGTGGTTCCAGTATTTAAGAAAGGTTGTTGCATGGACTCAGACAACAAGCCAGCCTTACGCATTGAGGGCAAAATTGGACCGAATATACGGACCTTAGATTTAACGATGAACAAACCGATTAAAGGCAGGCAAAGGTACCCTGAATCAGGTATTCATCGTAAGATAACTCATGTGAAAGAAACGAAAATGGCAATTTTAGGTCATTGCTATTTTCGCTGATTTCACGAAATTCCTTTAATTCTAACTTGAAAGGTCAGTGATCAATACGTTCTCCCGAAAAATTTATTTTACAGGGTATGTGGGCTTTCCTCAAGTGCAGAGCAAACTAATAACTCGTTGAGGAAACTATTTCATGAAACTAATTCGAAGTAAGGTAAGGCGAAGTGGAATCTGTTTGCGATGTCCTGACAGAGGCTCCAGTAAACACGGCTCAATGTGAAACCTTCCTCCATGTCATAACTGGTCCACTGTTACTGTTCCGAACTCAGACACAGATTTGTTCTGATCAGCATGAAGAGAACGAAGTAGGTAGCAATTAGTTAAACCTCAGACAAAACCTGTTTGACCGTTGACACCGAAGTTGTGGAAGAGGTAGCAACACATCTGTTTCTAGGTGGCACATTGACTACAGAATGAGGAGGGACAAACGAGGTTAAGGAGCTTGTGCGTTGGCACTGGCAGTGAGCAATAAGTTATTTAAGAACAAGAAATGTTCACAGTAGCACTATGCTGCGAATATATAGCGGTTGCGACCTGAACATCCTTTTCCGCGGCTTGAAGAGGGCGACACTTGCAAGGCTGAAAACGGTAACTTGTGAGCTACAGAAATGATTTTATGACCCACGTTAGGAGTGAAATGGTATGACCTGGTGCCATACACTCCTGTAAGAATGAGGTTGGGATATACAACTAAAGTGACAGACTGGCTGGAGAAAAGATATTTAAATTAGTGCGGCTATGACGAACGAATTAATGATAGCCGCTTTAGAAAGCGAGTGCTGAACACAGGATCTGATGGCAAGCAGCTGCAAGGAAATCTTGCAACTAGATGACAAGATCGTGTAAGTACTGATATTAAGATTAAGGAATGAAAATTAGTCCTGTTAGAAAAACTGACTAAGTATGCAAAGTTTACTCGAGCTCGTGAACTTCTCCTAGGGGAGTACACGGCAGAAGAAAACCGGAAATCTAGCATGCAAAAATGAGGAATAAGGTAGAAGCAGATTTACATTGTGAGGGGAACATTTCTCTTTACGATGCAGCAACCTGTGCCCTATGGCAATAGTGTCGAAAAACTACGAATATGGAAAATTGGACATCAAAAACTGGAGATGTTTATGCAGATGGCTGGAGGTAATGATCCCAACAAACACAAGAAGTTGCATGGAATCGAAAGAGTTGTTTGTTCGATCCGTTGAAATGCCTGTAAGGAATCCGCCAGGGAATAAGAAGAAGAATTATTTGGTTAGCAACGTAATTACTGAAGAAGATGACGACTGAGGGAGGGGGGTCAAGACAGAATCGTTAAGCATACTATGGTTAAATGTGAAAAGCACCTTCAGTCCTGTCAATCGTAGCGAATCGCGACTGTGGGAAAGTAGTTACAAGGTAGAGAATACGTGGACACCTTAAATTGATGTAGCGTTGAACTAGTGAGTTACGGCATAGTAATTTAAAGATGCGGCTGTGTAAGTTTTACAATGTTCACGAATTAATGAACCATTTGTACTTTAGTAGAATTAACAACATTTTGGACAGACGCATCATAATTTCACATCCATCGGATTAAAGCCACCTATTCCTTAGTAGATGGTCGTGATTTGAACATAAGTTCTAAACATACAAAGGATAAGCGAAATCATCCTTGCAGCACATATAAATAAATGCTCCTACCTTGATCTAATGATCAGTATTTGCAATCAGGGCATCGCTGTCCCAAACAAATCAGGCTTTGTTGAGTCGGTCGAGTGCCAGACTCATAGCCGAGGGGTCCCCAATTCGAGCTCAGGTAAGGTCACTCATCTATCTTGCTTTCGAGATTGAACTATGAGCGCCACTCTGTGGGAAGTTAAAAGAAGGCCGTCGCAATGGATGACACAGCTATATACTCTGCTTTTAAAATGAGGCACTAGTAGCTGGTGGCATAGAAACGGAGGTCAGTGCCGCAGTATAAACTTCATGAGAAGAAGAGCGGAAGAAGAGAGGAGCAAAACTTCGTGATTAAGGAGCGACAAGTGGCTCATAATCATATGAGGGTAATGGAGGCCGATATCCGAACAGTTTCAGACATCCTTTTGTCCTAAGCAAGTTTGAGTTAAGACCAAAACAAAGCTTGTCATATAATGCCTAGTTTCCTTGGCCGAATATGACGGTTATGTCTGATGCGCTCCGTACATCTTTTCATGGAAATTTCATACTTTGGTATGATGCAATGCTTATTGGAGCATGAACCTAAGGAAAGGAGGTAGGCCATCCCGAAAAAAATTTTAAGTACAGGTTTTCTCAATAGATACCGAACTGTTTGGATGAATATTTAGGCCTTAGCATCTTTGAGGCTGTTCTGCTGGGCGCTTAGGAAAACGGTTAATTGTACCGATGGTAATTTTGTGCACTTCACCTCGTTTTTCTCCTTACGCTATAACAGGTTTTGTACACGCACAATCGATTCTTGCCGGTGGGTCTTGGCTGACGTAGGTAGCTTCTCCGGATCTCAGAAGAAACTACCTGTGTAAATTATTACGTGGCTGAGGTTGGCACCGTTTTCGAGCCTCGACGAGAGACGTGTTTCGCCGCCATATAAGTGCCCATCAGAACTGAGGTTCGGTCCATCAGTCTGGCGAAATGCGTATTCGAAAAGAAAGAGAGCCCTGTCTGAAGGCATAGACATAGTACCTCCTATGTCGAGATGTGTGTCAAAGAGACTAACGGCGATGCGTCAACGAATTGCAATGTCACTTGCCCATTGTTTCGTGACTTCTTAATGCGGACCATTGCAAACTTTTTACCTGCTTCATTTAGGTTAAGTCTACTCTGGCGTTGGACCGAAACGCCCTAACTTATTTTTTTGCCTTTCGTGATATTTCACACATCAACTTTTTAACAAACAAAATATTTAAACTTTTCGATTTACGGACTTGGCAGCTCGAATTCGGGCAATCGTTTTATCGTCTGTCCATTAGATGGATCGCCGAACCTAATATATCTGTGACGGTTGGTCGCTTGGACGGTTGATCGGACCCCATCTGCTCGCCGCCAGCCATGCGTACTGTACACTCGCTTCTACGGTTCACTTTCATGGCTGTGGTCGCGGCCGTCGTACATGCAACATATTACGAGAAAATGTACACTCAAATGACTAAGGACACCAATATAACGTTCACGTGGAAAGTAACTGCATTTTTTTGGTTTCTTTTGTCATATGCATGTATTTCGCGATTACTTCAAAATATCCAGTTTAAATTATCAGGTTTGCTCAGTGGGAGACTGTAAGACACATAACCGAGAGGTACCAGGACTCGAGCTCTGCTATGTGTCACCCTCTTATCTACTTGTTGAAATTGATAAATTAATACCACTATCAGGGAAGAAAACAAGAGACTGTCCACCGTGCTTCCCACATGACTGCCTTCGACTCTGCCCTTAAAATAAGATAAAATAAATAATTCCTCCTGGCTGATGGCATTGAAATGGAGATCAGTGTCGCATGATTAACTTCCTGAAACGAAGGGCGCCAGAATGGTTCGGTCATGAAAGTGTAAGGAAGACCGCATTTCAGCGGTGACAAACTTCCCTACCATGTGCCCGTTTAGAATGGCCAGCTTCGCTACTGTTTAACAGTGCATTCAGTCAGTCAGTCAGTCAGTCAGTCAGTCAGTCAGTCAGTCAGTCAGTCAGTCAGTCAGTCAGTCAGTCCATCAGTCAGTCAGTGAGTCAGTCAGTCAGTCAGTCAGTCAGTCATTCAGTCACTCAGTCACTCAGTCAGTCTAAGTCAGTCAGTCAGTCAGTTAGTCAGTCAGTCAGTCAGTCAGTCAGTCAGAACGTCAATCAGTCAGTCACTCCTCACTCACTCGCTCAGTCAATCACTCAGTCATTCACTTAGTCAGTCACTCAGTCACTCAGTCAGGCGGGCAGGCAGTTGTGAATAAAAATTTTTCTTCTTTATCGTGCTGCCAGTCATGGAACCAGAAGATGTATTTTCCGAAAGTACTCAACTGCATGTTATCGATATAATCCCTAAAAATGATTTAGCCTGACATTAATTAATTCAGTCACCAATTAATTCCATCATTAATCAATTAAATCAAACGTTCCTTCACTCAAGCCGATCAATCCGTTCTAAAGCTGTCTCGTTAGTCGACCATTTCAGGTTGACGAAATGTGCTCATGCCTTAAGGCAGTATTCTCCCCAAAAATTCACGATTGCTGCGACACATTCGTCTCTCAGATGCATAATCGGAGTTCTAACCTGAGGAGCGCCTATTAAACAAATCCAGCGCATTGAGCGCTCAGCAACAGTGTATTCATAAGTATTGAATGGAACCTGTTTCTTTGCCACTAATTGAAATATTCACTAACAGCTGAAAAAGCAAACCAAGTATCATCCATAATGCACACAGAAATTGTCGAAAACGTCGATCGCTTATTAAACGTTTGTTGTAATCTTTGTCTCCTGTTGTGGAACCAAAAAGTTTATCCCTTATGATCATGTCGGTGTGACGGATGATATCATCGTTGGTTTAAACTTTGTTTAGACTTTGCATATTATGCATATATACCTTTTATTTACCTAATCTGCTGGAAAGTTTTGCAAAAGTTCTGTGGATATTTTTAGCATGGCTTGAACGAGTACTTCAAAGGAAACACTGAACAGCAAATGCTTCCGGCCACAGGAAGTCTGCCGGAGAATATCAGTTCAATGCCCCGCAGGAGAGTGTTCGCCAAGGCAGCTCTCCCAGACAACTTCGATGCACGAGAAAAATGGGGCAATTGCAAGTCTGTCAGGGATATAAGAACTCAAGGTAATTGCGGAGCTTGTTGGGTAAGTTATTTGTTCTATACTCTTTCTAATTGAAGACTGATCATTTGTTCGCTCAGGCTATGTCATCGGCGTCCGTCATGTCCGACAGGGAATGCATTTTTTCGAATGCTAAATATCAGCCTCTGATTTCGACCGAATACTTATTGACATGCTGTTCTAACTGTGGTTATGGGTAAAGTAATATTAGCACAAATCTAAAGTGATTTTCAGGCACTGAAGAAGCATTAGCGGGTTTTGCGGTCTTATTACTAAACCGTCGTTTAAAACATAAACTATTATCGAGCATATACTAAAGTGTTTTCGCCAGTGCCCTCTGTATCATTGCCATAATCGATTAAGTTTACGTTAATTTGATATTAGACAGTTGAACAAAGTAATGCGTACAAGAGTGGGGAAAAGTACTTACATTTTGGTGCAGAAAAAAAATAATTATGCAGTAGCAGGTGTTCCCGTTAACAGTGTTCTACTAATTTAATGCTAATAGTGTTGCTACTAACTTTCCTTTATCACGGGATATCTTGAAAAGTAATTAATCTTTGAGCGTAGAGTTCTTCCAGCGCAAAGGGACGTTTTGGCGCACCTTGTTTTGGCGCAAACCGCAGAATACTCCATGCTGCAGTCGCCCATTTGATCTGTATAATTGGACGTTGGTCATCTAAATCAGTTATTTTGTTTAGCCTCTCATATTGAAAACTGAAAAATGCATAAAAACAATTAATTTAATACACAACTCAAACGAATGAGTTAGCCAGTCAGGCAATTGACCAGTACCGACGTTTTGGCTCACCTTTCACGAGCCATCTTCAGGTTGGTCCGGGTTGGTTTCTGCAGTTAGATGTGTGGTTCGCAGCTGTTGTAACGTCTGGAGTTGAGGATGTGGTTTTCGACCACGCTATTGGCTAAGTAGTTTTTGGATCATGGGGTTTATAAGGTTTTTCCAATCTGCGAAGAATTTGTTTCCTTTGTCTCTGTCGACACTTTCACATGATTGGCTTCTTTAATTCGTCCGCCTAGCCAGTTTTTTACTTCAACGATTCCCGCGCAATCTGACCACTGGGTATCGTGTCCGTTTCTGCAGCGTCCTGCATGATCCCTGAGGCTTTTCCACGTTATTCATTAACCTTGATGGAGAGAGTGTGCTTCATTCGTGAATGCGTTGTCGCCGTATGTCATTCGCGTTCTTCTACATCTGACAGGTGGAATTTCGTGTTCTGAGTGACGGGATTTCTGGCTTCTTCTACGTATTAGTTTCCGCAGTCGAAAGGTAATTTGTAAATCCCATCTAGATAATTGCTGTTATCAGAGTTGGTCACAAAAGTACTAAGTTAATTGAGCTTTTATATATTAACTGTAATATTGTGTTTAGTCTTAAGTGATCGTAATGACTCGTCGCAAAAATTATGATATGGTAGAATTTTTCGAAATGTTACTTCTAGGATGCAGTATTGTAGATAGATTTGAAATAAGTAATTCTACGATTGATGGTATTATTTACGACCACAGCAGGGTAATTATTATTCGTTTTGTGTTGTGCATAAATAAACCGTTTGTAAGCATTTTTCAGTTTTCTGCATGAACACCAACGCATTACTCAATCTCTCTTGTGTAATATTAATGAAAATCTCCCTGTGAATATTACGCGACGTTGATATTAGACTGCAGATTTAGTTTATGATCGTTCGTGATGGCTGCTCGAGCTCATTTTGGTAGAATTCAATGAGTGAAGCATCGTAGACGAATCTGTAGATAATATAGACGAATTGTCTGCCTAAGTTCATGTACAATTTCACTGCTGTGAAAAAATTTACCTAGGATGCTCACAGAAAGCATTGCATTGATATCCAAGCAGAAAACAATATTCGCAATGAAGTTAGAGATATCCATCACTACTAAATACGATTTCGATGTACTTGAACTTCTCTACCTGCGAGTGCCTACAGAAAGGAAGGCTAAGCAACTGTTTCTTGCAAATCCAACCGGCAGAACGCCCAAGGGACGGCCAAGATTAACCTGGTGGAAATATATGAAAGGAGTCTGTTCCAGACTTCATTTGTTCCTTGCTGATGCTCAGACTCTGGCGTAGGATCGGAAACGCTGGATGCACTGTCCGCCGTGTCTGTCTCCACGACTTGAAAGGACAAGCTGTCATGGAGGATGAAGATGAAGTTAGAGAGTAGCTACAGAAATGTCCATAAATTGAACGTACGGTTTAATGAGCTCGCGTAGTGTAAATAAATATGTATGATACAGGTTTTGGGTATTGTACTCACAGAAGCTTTCGTTAGATTTATAACGTGACAAAACAAATCATGTGATTAATACAGAAGACCATATGCCAATTATTTAAACACCAGTTCCACGCTAAATAACTGCGTGCCGATTTAATGACCTCAAACAGTCGTCAAAATAGAATTGCAATCGGAAATTCTTAAGTCTCACATCGGTACCGAACTTCAAACTCAGAAATCAACTCACTGATATATAACCTAGGATGGAGGGAGATAAAATCAGATGCTTGAAGCACATGAGCACCGTCCGGCTGTACAAGTTCAAGGAGCGATGGCAGCACTGAACATTGACACCAACCACTGCTCTGTACCCAAACACCGTGCGCCAAAACGGCTGCGTCGAAATGCCATAAACCAAAAGAACCGCGCTAGGAAATAAAAGCAACATGAAAAGCGCTCTGATGCATAATTCATAAGTTACTCTGAAATAGACTCCAAATGACAGTGCAATAATGAGAACTGTGTTGTATTATGACATCGACATAGGCATTTTATAATGTTGAAAAAAAAGTCGTTCTTGGATACTAGAATCTATAGCGAGAAATCACGTTCTGTTCACATTCGCATTGCACGCCGACCTTTGGCTTCTCTTTCAAAATTTGCCTATCAGCGCTCTAAAAGTTGAGATATTTTAGTTATCTAGACTAGAAGTATGAACAAACTATACGTTATAAGCAAAGTTTAGCTGTACTACAATAATTTAGATTTGTAAACACATTTTACCTGTCATACAGCGACACATAATAACATATCTGTTCAGATGTGAAGGTGGGTTTCCATCAAAAGCATTCAACTTTTGGATGAACAGCGGAATCCCTAGCGGAGGGCCATTCGGCAGCGGCATAGGATGCCAGCCCTACCAGATAGGCTCTCAGTGGTCTGACAGTTCTGCAACTCCACCGTGTATTCAGCACTGCATGACAGACTTCAGCTTGCCTTTGGAGAAAGACAAATATTACGGTGATATACAACTGTTTTGTAACTTAAATGAGTTTATATGTTTCAGCTCTGAGTTCATACGTGATCGTCGGCGACGACAAGCACTACATGCAAGAGATATACGAAAATGGTCCAGTCGTGACTACGTTCACTGTTTACGAAGATTTTTACTACTACCAATCTGGTACAAGCTTCCATCATTTAATTGCGGCATCAAATGGCAAATTCATTCATTAAAAAAGGAAAGGGAGCTAGCAGACCCAGTTTCGAACCACATGAAAATACCTATTACAGAATTATTATTATTTAGGGT